AATAGATCTTATAAAATGCTTACATATCCCCATTTTTGTATAGGAGTATGGATAATATTAAAATTTTTATCTTCTGCTAAAACTTGATCATCGTTTCTCTCATTTGCTTCTGTTTCAGTTCAAGCAGCTCAGGCAGCCGGTTTAGATCCATACGGATACGCAGCAGCAGCCGGATACGGTATTATGCCTGGATATCCATTGCAGTCAGCCCAACTAGCTGCCGCTCAACAACAACTCGAACATCAACGAGTCTAAAATGCTCCTCTCACCCGCTTTTTCTTCCCTCCCCCCTCCTCTCTTTACCCATTTATTCTCACTGCTTTCCCGAACGTCTTGCATTTAATCTCAAATCTAGATATTAACGAAACAGAAGCCTAAAAACTAACTGAAAAGATGTTTTTTGGATTTCAAAAATCGACATCGTCGTAGCAACCCCACGTGCTCCTCAGAATCCGTATGAAACTAGTCTTGTCCTAGGTTTGATCGACTTAATGACAGTCGCGAGTATATGTTCTATGTCCAGCCTCAGTTGCCTGATTCATGTGCCATCTACAGCAAAAAAGTCTGTTGATTTGATAACATGATTCTTCCAAGTTTTTCTTATCCACTAAAGTCACACGACATTTTCGTGTTATCCCATTGAATAGCTCACCAAACATTGTATTGTTTTTACAAGTCATCGATTTCAATCTCAGATCAATAACTTTGTTTTAGTATCGAATATCTTTGAGTATTCAAATAGCGTGGGCATAGAGTCACATAAGCCATATGTAAATTTTATTGCATAGTATCACGTACACAATTGTAATAAATAACTATTGTCCTTTGTTGTCAATGTACTGTATCCGCACCAACGTTCGATATCAGCAAACTTTTAAAAAACGCCGTGATTTGCAAATTAATAAGCCAGTTTCGCCAACAAATCTTCCTTTGAAAAAAGTTTAACCTCTTAAAATTCATTTAGTCCATCCACTTTTCACTCAGGCTACCTAAAGCTGATTTGACATGCATCATATTGTTTAAAAAAGAGACATTTGAAGTGATCGGAGAATAGTTTTCTAGTACTGGATTCTTGCTTTCAGTAAAAACTATTACAAGTAGGAGCAGAATAAAATTCATGAGAAGGTAGTCGCTAATTTTCTAGTTTATTCAACCTTTTGCTAACCCATAACTCAATGCCAGCGTTATCCCTTACATTATATTCAGAGCTCTCTACGTCTTGAAAAAAAAGTAGGGGAATAAGCGAACTTTGTGGTACAGTTGCGATTGTTTCTCTTCCCGAAATTGGATTCATACTCTGATTGATTATACGCTTCTATTATAAATCTTGAAACAGAGTGGATATGGTTTCTGACGATTT